TCAAATTATATGTGCTTTTTTCAGGACTGAATTCGGTTGTATGTGTCAACGTCCACTCCATTAACCATTTTGTGCACAAAAAACCTGAAATCGGATAAAGATATATATGGGAGCTTTAACCAAGTCTAAACCGATCTTGATAAAATTTGACCGATTATCCCAATTTCAATAGGGTTTGTCCTTGGATCAAATAAATGATTTGTGCAAAATCTCATCCCGCTCGGGCAATAAATACGACCTGTTTACAAAAATACATGGACTCAGATGAACATCATGAAAAGGAACTATGGGTTTATCACGCTTCCTTCTCATTGTTACAGTCAAATGTACAATGATATAATACCCTGACCACAGTGTAGTGCATAGCATAATTTACTGACATTGGAATATTTAAGGGAATTACGAACGCATTGATCGAGTTAGTATTACCTAATGGATCCTATATATCAAAAAGTTGCAGTATTATTATAAGATCGTGAAAATTAATGCTTAGTCCATGAAACCCTTGTAGTTTGCTCTTAAGAATAGGAAATTGGAAGGGCGAGAAAAGTACATTATAAAAATTGTTTTACTTAATTTGATTGCATTACATTCATGACCCTTGAATAGTAAACATTCGCTTATCGTTCTTCAAGATAAACATGTTCCCTTCCATCAACATTTTTCAAGTAAAATGCCTCATATCCTTTTTGTATGGCCTTACAAGTTTGCATTTGTGCGTCGGTGTGTGTACATATCTATGTGTGTGTACAAAAGCATTTAGTTCTGGATACTTTGATTTATTGTTCTCTTCGCAGAGAATGTACCGAGAATGAAAGCAATGACTTAAGCATTTTCTATTTTTGCAAAGTTAAGCAATTATAAATTAGGAATTTATTTGGAAAATTTCAAATGGAAAGTTATTAAGTTAATGACATTTTCATTCCAATTTGTAGGATTCTATTATAAACAATACTACTATTACCACAATAAAAACAACAACAAACAACATCAGGAGCAGCAGGACAGGACAGGATGTTATACTCGTCAGTGTTTTCTAATTCCTGGTATCAAAATAATTTAATTTAATTCGTTTGAGTACTGTTTCACTTTAATTGGTTTTCGGAGAACAAAAAAAAGGATTGAAATATGTATGAATGTGTGCATTGGTAATGTTTTTGTTGTTACTCGTAAAAATAGAAATGATTGAAACGGAAAGGCTTATTTAACATCCGAAAAAGCTAAATCAACAAACAATACAATGTTATTAAGGAAAGGTTTAAATCATTCAACAACGTTTACTAGTTAATGAATGTGAAAATGTTTGTCAACTCTCCATGGATGTGTAAACATAAACCAAGTTTCGCAAAGACATGACAAAAAAAATATCAAGGAAACAATTTTTATCAAGGAAGCAAGGTTAACGTTTCGGATATAAAGAAAGGGACAACTCTACCTACTCAGCTAAATCAGAAAATGTTGGAAAATTCAACAAAATAAGCGAATAAGCACAGGCTGTATTCGTGCGGGTGCGACCATGTGATACCGCACAACACAATAATATATTGGAAAAAACTCTTAGGCCCAACACCATTTTAGTCGATTTATATACCCTCCACCGTTTGTAACATCCCTAAATATTCGTCGTAGACTCAAAGTATACATATTCATAATCATTATAAGTCGATTTAGCGACGTCCGTCTCTCTGTCTGTTGAAACCACATTATTTGACGTAGAGCGTCAAAATTTAGCAGAACAATTTGTATTATGTCTAGGATGGTTGGTATTGAAAATGAGATATATCGGTCCAAGTTTTGATATAGTACGGTACGTCCCGATATTCGGTATTTTGATGATTTTTGCCACATTTTTTTACGGATTTCTCTGAACATTGGTATTTGTAGGTCATAATGTGGCGAATTAGGCATTTTAATATTTTATACAAAATAACATTGCTATAGAGTGCATGAGAAGAATTATATTAAAAAATGTATATCCGAGTTCCACAAAATTTAAACGTACGTCCCGAAATTTACTACTTTTGGGGTGATTATTTGGAGCTATATCCAAATCTAAGCCGATCTCGATATAATTTAGCAAAAGTGTTCCCGAGCTCTATAAGATATCTGGTACCAAATATCATTGTTGTCAAATGGATATTACGAATGTGAGGGACTTAAACACCATATCGGACGAAACATATATATGGTAGTTTTAGCTATATCTGAACTGCTTTTCACCAAATTCGATATACTTGATTCTAGACTGAATTCGGTTGGATGTGCCAAAATACAGGCCATTTGGGCTGATATTGGCCATTTGGTGTGCAATTACCTCGAAATCGGTTGAAGATATATATGGGAGCTATATCCAAATCTGAACCGATCTTGAAAAAATCTGATCCGATTATCACCAATTTCACTAGGATTCGTCCTTGGGCCAAAGAAATGTTGTTTGCAAAAATTTCATCTAAATCGGATAATAATTGCGACCTGCATTTTGTTCACAAGATTACGTGACAGATGGACGGACTGACGGACTGAAATGCATAAATAGACTCAGAAAGTGATTCTATGAAGATCCTCAAAAGTAGCTATGGGTCTATCTCGCTTCCTTCTCCATGTTACAAACAAAGACATAACTATGTGGTATAAAAAACATATTTACAGTAATACTATATGGCACTCATTATTTTTATACCCCCCACCATACTATGGAGGGTATATTAACTTTGTTATTCCGTTTGTAACTCCTAGAAATGTCAGGCCCAACAAAGTATATTTATTCTTGATCAGTGTAAAATTCCAAGTCGATTTAGCGATGTCCGTCGGTCTGTCTGTTTGTTTTTTCACCGGACTTCAAATTTCGTATTTGAAGTTCGTAATAAGAGAAAATTGTCTATGCAGAACCACGTCTTATACACCGGACTCATTTCAAAATTAGTATTTAAAGTTCAGAATCGGTACTACCTATGACAAAAAATGACTTCTGAAGGACGACTTTGTATAACCCCCATATAAGGAGTTTTATTTTTCTGCGGAATTTTTGCAATTTTTCAAGTTCCCTAAAAATGGTGGAGGATAAAAGACCGAACTTAGCTATTTTTTTACTTTTTTTATTTGTTTTTCCTTCAGGAGCGTAAACAAAGAAATAGGTCGCTCTGCCAACACGAGAACAGCTGACCATGTGGAAATCAGGACCGATTTCAATATAATTTTACAACATTTATTTTTATTCCATATTCCGCCACACATTCCAAATTAAATTGAAATCGGCCGAAAATGTATATGGGAGCTATGTCCAAATCTGTACTGATATCAATATAAATTTGAAATTTATTTTGGTACCAAATTTAGAAGGTGTATAATAATATATTTGGGAGCTATATCCAAATTAAAATTATTTTCAGTTCAAATTCCGTCACTCGACGGAATCGAACATACACATCGTATTTGGTGCATCAAATAAATGAAATCAATCGAAAATGTAATGGGAGCTACATCGAAATTTGGTAAATTTATTTTTGTACCGAATTTCGTCACTTCTTCCGAATTTCATTTTATCGTGTTTGGTGCATCAAATATGTGATATTGGCCTAAAAATTTGTATGGGAGCTAAATCCAAATCTGAACCGATTTCAATATCATTTGGCAAATTTATTTTTGTACCGATGTATCTATAACCGATCAATAGATATTTGCATTCAAATTTCCTGAGGTATCTTCGATTATTGTGCTATATATCCAGTTCCAAGTGGAATTTACAGGAAATTTGTAGGAAAATCTGTTTAACAATTTTTGAGTTTATAACTTACAAACAAACAATCCAACGTACAAAAATTTTCCTCTTGTATAGATATAGATCCTACGCTACTATGGAAAGTATATTAACTTTGTCATTCTGTTTGTAATTCCTCGAAATACTCATGTTGGACCCTACAAAATGTATATATTTTTGTATATATTTTATGTAAGTCTATTGAGTGATGCACGTCCGTCTGCCAGTAGCCAGGTTATGTTCGTTACTGGGCCATGTCGTTCCACGTTTTCATATATTCCCCATATAACTGTGCCTCCTGATATTAGGTATTTTGATGATTTAGATCTCATTATCTATCGTAATTGTTTAACATTTGGTACTTAGAGTTTGTAACGGTTCCTACCCCCACAATACTAGAATATTGTCTATATAAGTCCACGTTTTTCTATAGCCCCCATATAATTGTACCTCCGGTATTCGGTATTTGTCACATTTTCTAAAGGAATTGTTTGAAATTCGGTACTTAGAATTGTAAAAGGTTTTGCCTGCTATGCTAAATGTTTGTATATAAAGGTCAGAATGTGTGAATAAAGCCCCATATGGCTGTAATATCCGATATTCAATATTCTGATGATTTTAGACACCATTTGAAATTTATCTTTCGAAAGTATTGAATTGCATTAATGGCGAAGAAGACATGGCCTTTCCTAACATTATTTAGTTTGCCTTGAAATCGAAATATTCAAATCGATTCCATACCGAATGAAATGACTACATATTGTTCCCATTTTAAGTATTTGTAATGAAAATTCCCAACATTCACCCAATGAATTAAAAACACAAAAATTTTTTTGAATAAAAATTTCTCCACAACTATTGCTTTTTGAAGAGCAAAAGTTAGAATACTTTTTTGCAAATTTATTTTTTGAATTTTTTGTTTTTTTTTTTTTTGTTTTGTATTTTTTTGTTTATAAATTTGTAATTTGTTTTTGTTTTGTTGTTTTCTTTTGTTATCATTTATAATTTCATATGGTTCCTACATTGATAATTTACATACACATTTAAAAGTGGTAATAATAATAGAATAATAATAATAGTAATGAAAAACTGATAATAATAATAATAAGAGAAAAACTTAACATTATAAGTACGATTATACTCGCTTGGTTTGCTTGGTTGATTTGATTTGGTGGATCCACATCTATTGGATCCGCCGGCATAATACAATTTGTTAATATTATTTTTTTAATAATAATAATAATTAATAATGATAACTAATTAATAGTTGTAAGAATAAGATAATTCATTACTTTTTCTTGTATCAATGTGCTTGAGGGTTATCATTTTTGTTGTTGTTATTATAAATAATAAATAATACATTTTACACACACATATATAATTCTTTGTTGTATATAATAATAATGGAGTTATAATATTTTTCTTGCATTGTGTTGTTTTTGTTTTTCTTTTATTTATAAATATGTATATTGTATGTGGTTGGTTTTCTTGTTGTGGTTGTAGTTTTTTTTCAGTATTATAATTATTGTTAATTAATTAATAATACAAAGCTAATAATGATAATGAAATTTTGTTGTTGTTGTTGTTTGCTTGGTTGTTTAATAAATTAATTTGTTGTTGCTTTGTTTTTTGGGATATCCTATTAAATACTAATTAATACACACTTAAAGAGTTACAGATCAATTTGTTGGTTAAAAATATAGATTTGGTATTTGAAGAAGATTTGCTATGCGTTATTATATTTGCTTTCCAGGGTGGTTGGTGTGGGGTTTGATTACATATGTATGTTTGTTTTTGTGAATTTAATATTTAAACATTTAAAATTGTTAATTTGAAATTTGTTATATATTTTATTGTATTGTAGATTTTTTTCATTTTAAAAATTTACTTTCTGTTTGTTTAATTGATAAGACTACAAGAACATTTAGATGTGAGAAAATTTGAAAAATTCTAATCTTATTGAATAATTCATAATTTGTTGGATTTTGTTTTTAATTTATATTTAATATCGCAGTTAAGAAATTTATTTTTGTTTTGCTATTTAATGAAAAAAAATTTTGAATTTTTTAATTGTTATTATGTTGCTATTATGTATATCTCTATTTATGTGTATTATTAATTTGTTTTTGTTTTTCATTATAAATTATCATCATTCACAATGTTGAGGAGTTCCATTTGTTTCTGTGGTTATTGATATTTTGCTGATATTGCAAATTGTGGTTTTTACTGTTTTTGTTTTTTCTTTTTTTTCTTTCAAAAAGCTTAATTTTTAAACATTTACACAAAGAAGAACTATTGTTTTTACTGTGGATATGGATGGGGGCTTAGGTTGTATTTTGGAGGCTGGTAGTTCAATATTTAGGATTGACTATGTGTGTGTGTGTGTGTTTGAGTGGGGAAGGGATATTGCCGAATTTCTGCTGGATTTCTTATTGTTGTGGATTTCTTGTTAAAAAGCCTAGGTGCTAACTATATAACATTTATGAACTACTACTTAATCAGTATCACATTTTAATGAGTTATAGTAGATGGCAAACTCCAGCAACTTTGGAGCTTGTATTTATATACAAAAGTTGCCGAGCTTCAATTGCAAACATCTGACCATATTTTTCACAATTTACGTTCCTTTGAAATCAAAACACAAACGATTTATCATTGTTTTTCATTTTTCACAAAATAACTTAAATACTATTACGAAAAGAGACTTACAAGCTAATATGGTGGTGAATTCACAATGTGTTAATGGTTGTTGGTTTTTGAGATACTTTTCCGTTGTTGTTGTTGGCGTCCATTGCAGCTGGACAACGGCAACAACAACAACAACTGTGACACACATCACGCATTGGATGTGCATCGTTGATGATGATAATGATGAGCGTTTGTAATATGAGTATGCCTTAAGGTGGGTTGTTCTCTGGTGTGTTGTATGGAGTTCTTTGTATTACAACTACAACCATCAGCTGCAGTTAAGGAAGGTGGAAGTGCCTAGGCGGGGATAACGCCTACACACTAACTACTTTCACACGGCGAATACAGTTTGTGTTTGGTCAGACTGTAATCGGGACTGATGGTTATGCTGCGCGATAGGTTCTTCATGAACTGTGGCAGTAACGAGGCCCAGCCACGTTTATCTTGGCGCAGGGTTAGATACAATTCAAATGTGGACACCATTTCATTGTCCACCTTAAGGGTACCAATGCGGCGGGAATTCTGGGGTTCTTCTTCGAATTCGATGTAGACGGTACAACCGCGTACGCCGCAGGGTTCACGTTCAGAAACGCGTAGGATATCTGACGCTATGCGTGTGGTGAGATCACAGGGTATGGAGACTTCGGTGCAGGTCAAGTTGCGGGACTTGGCCTCACGTAATTCATCGAGCAGACGCAGCGACAAATCATTAATGGCCGCTGCATCGCTATTATCACAGTATATGAGTTCTTCTTCCAGGGGTGTAGCGCCAACGACAACACTGTTGTGTCGGTCGGGGCTGTGAGTGGCACGTGAGGCAGATGTTGTATTGTTCGCACGTGAACTTGAGATAGGCGTTGACCAATCTGTGAGGAATATAAAAAAAGTAAACGAAAAAATTAGAAATTTTCGAAATATGACAAAATATGTTTTCTTATATACGTGGCTACATATGTATGGAGATTTTCAAATCTCTTTGTTCTGTGTATTCATACATTTAAACGAAGGGGGTGTCACCCACAAGCGGAAGTATGTGTTTATTTTATTATAATTTATTGATTTGGGTTTCCAATTCTATATAGTTTTTTTTTTATTTTTTTTTTTTCATTATTGTTCTTTCTTTGGATTCGTTAGTTTAAGGTCATATTTCATCAGCCCTTTACATGTTACATCAAAAAGGGAAGGTATCACACAAGTGTGAGAGAGAAGAAATGAATAAATAATAAAACGTGACAAAAATATTTTCATTTATTTTTTATTTTGCCTGTCAGACTCTGAGGAGGTGTGGTGCCAGTCATCGTCATTACGACGAGACTAATATAAATATTGTTGTTGTTGTTGACGTTGTTTGATGACATGAACTTGTTTCAATTTTACAAAAATAAAAACTGATGAAATTTCTATTGGCGTTTACAAGCAGATATTTATTTTGTTGTTACTAGGGGGAAGAAATGTTTTTGTTGTTTTTTTATTTAAAAATAAATAAATTATCATAAATTATTTGCAAGGCAAAGTAATGCACAGTCATAAACTTGAATTGCTTGTTTAGTTCACTTATTTTTTTCAATAAATTTATTGTGTTTATATTTTAAAATAATTTACTATAAAATCTATGACACCGATACAAATTGAATCAAAATTTATTAATACTCGTTTCTGCTTCAAGTCTGGTATATGAATTTCTATAATAATTTCTAATTAAAAAGTGCAATGGAAAAATCTAATTAAAAAAATATTTTGAAATTTGGAAAATAAATTATTGCCAAATTTAAATTTAATTTATTTAAAGAACAATAAACGTTTCACTACAGCTTTTATCTTTTTTATCGAAAAGATTAAAGCGGTTATTAAACCTCTTAAATGTAAGCATAAATTGTTGACATTTGAAAAAAAAAAAAATAATCTTATCTCGTATCTTTAATAAATTTTATATGTCCCGTCTAATCGGGTCACTGCTATTTTTACATTTCTCTTCCAACTTGGAAACAAAGAAAATTCAACGAGCAATAAAACACAGATAATACTGAAAGCAATAAAAAAAAAAAAATATCATACAATTTCCGACGGCTGGTTTAATTTCCGATCAAACGAACACACTTCAGTAAATTTAATAAAAATTGATTAAATGTGAAAATTAGCATTAAAAAATGTAGGTTTCAGAATATTTGAATTTATAAATAATTAATACAATTAAAAATTTTTGATATAAAAAATGTAAAAATTGTACACACGTGTGAAATATTTCAAAATTTTGTACTAACTAAATTACTGAATTCTTAAAAAGAGATTTAATATTTTTCCACACATTTTTTTAAATAAATTGTAAGACTCTCGAAAATATAAAAGAAGTCAACCTACCTTTAGTTTTTGTTGTCCCACTGGTTAAGACGGTAAAACGTTCAGGATATTGATTTTGCACTGATAACACTTCCATTTTATCCGGATTAATTTTGATTCACAATTATTACAAAATAAAAACTTTCAAAAAGTTTTGTTGTATAGTTTTTGTTATTATTATTTTTTTGTATTTTGTTTTTTTTTTTATCAAAAATACATGTAAATGCACGGTTTAGTTAAATATTTTGTTCTTGTTAAATAAAAATTTATTTAACGAAGAAATCACAGTTTCTTTGTTTTGTTTAATTTGTTGTTAAAAATTAATTTGACAATTTCCAAATTTTGTCAAACACACATAAGTCACATACGCTTTCTGATATTCAGTTTGTAGTCTTTGACTTGATTCTTATTATTTTTAATTTAAAAAAATATAGTTTTCTTGTTTTAGGCTTCATATGTTTTTTAAAATCACAATAAAAAAATTTTCAATTTTATCACCGCAATTTTTATTGAGTTGCTTAATAAAAAAAATTGTTCTTTATTCCGTTTGGATTTTCTTTTGTATCTTTCTTAACTTTTCTATATGTGAATATCAGCAGTGTTTAACAGTAACTGAGGTAAACAGCTGTGTGACGACGAATTTATAGGCCCGGCACAGCTAGCACTCTTACGAGCAGCCCCTTTTGGGGAGGAATGAGCTGAGAGAAAGAGACATAATCTTGGCCATAATTGAGTGAAATTTGAGTTTTAATTCTGGAAAAAGTATAGAATAAAGCCAAAGAGAGACGTGGCAAACATATGATGTTGTTGGCAAAAAACAGCTGAGTTTATAATTTACATTGTAATTCCTGGAAACCAAGTTGCTTGATTGTAGAAAAATAACTTTAAGCCATATATTAAAGAATAACTTGTAAAATGTCTTCTGTATTTTCTTTCAATTTTTTAAATAACTACATATCTGTATCTTCTGAAAAAAAATTGCTCTCTACTTAGAATTATTAAAAGAATTTATGCATAATTAACTCTTGATTTTTTTTTTTTTGTGGTATAAGTACATCTTGTTCTTCTCCATGCTTCTCAATTTTTCTCTTGAAATAACAATTTACTCCAGTATGAGCAAACTCGGTACCTCTCCCCTCTAAGCATTTGCTCCTCTCTTCAACTATTATCCCTGTTTCACTTCCTTTATTTGTGATTTTTTCACTCTTTAGCCTAGAAATTTTCTCTGTTATCCCCATAACGATTTACTCAACAGGAACATTTTTGAGTACTCTCATAATTGTTATAGCAATTCTCGAGTATTGAGTAATTCTCCTCTCTGGTTTGACTCTCTGCCTCTTGGTCATTACCTCTCACAATATATGGTAGAGGAACAAAAAACAAACCGTCTCCAACTGTGTGGTGTACGTGACTTTTTCATTTGTTTGGCGGTCGGTCGTTTAGTTAGTTGGTTGTTCGGTTGATTTGTTGTTTTGCTTTTGGCCTGAGTTCTTTTGGGTCGGCCTTTCGTAGTGTGTTTGTTGCTGTGCGGCATGTTTTGTTATTTTTTTCTTGTTTCTTCAACGTTCACCCATGCATTGGGAAAACTGTCATAAGAAGTACTCGTCGTCGTTACTTATTCAGCACCTCCCTCACTTTTGTCTCCTCCATGGAACCGGGTCGGGGCAACCAAACTAATAAAGATTACAGATGTGTATGGTTCTCCTAAATTTGCTCTCTCTCTGGCGCACACAAACGAACACACTCGCAACACTCAATCATTTGGATACTCTATTCGTTCAATCATCGGTTCGTACGTCTGCCCCCCGCCAAAATGTATGTGTAAGTCGGTCGTTTAATCTAACATCCATCCGTACGTTTGTCGTTCGTTCGGTCGGTCGGTCAGTCATTTTGACGGTTGTTCGTGTGTTTGGTACGCATATGAAACTTTTCAATGCATTGTCAGTTTTGTTTGCTGGTTTCTGTGTTACAGCCGGTTTTCGCTTGATTTTTTTCGTTGCCGTTTTTCAACGTTTTGGATTAATACCCTACACCACGATACGGAGTGAATATTAAATTCATCAAGCCGTTAGCAACAAAATGGAAATACCTTATAACAAAATCCAAACCAGTGAACCCGTCAGTCACTTAAATTGACGCTGCAGAAGTTCAGATTGAAGTTGCCTTAAAAAATTGCAAAGAAAAAAAAATACATAAAAAGTTCAGTGAATTGCCTTCAAAGAAAGGAAACAAAACATGAAAAGATGCAAATAAAATAAGAAAACATAAAAGTGTTCACGAAATGCCAAATACAATATGATAATATATTTGAATCAGTTAGGAAAAGAAAAAAAGCGAGTTTGCATTAAATTTGTATTGGATAGGTATACTTTTTCCCAATGTTTATTTTTTCGTTAGGGAAAAATAAAAATTTGTTTCTACAATATAGTTATCTAATAGGCATAGGCTTGAAAATTTTACATTCTTTTCAAAATTATATCTTTACCTTTTGTGAAAAAAATAATATTGAATGTGTAAAGCTAAATAATATTCTGCACGGAAAGCTAAGTTTAAATCTTAAATATTGGTTCGCGTTAAAAGTCTAGTTTATGAAGGGCAATGTGTCTTTGGTATTTACTTCCTATTTAGCTACAAATCATCGGGAATGCGTTAAGCTTAAAGAACTGTGATTTTCTATTTAATTGCTAAGGCCATTATTTTCTCTTTATTTATTTGCATTTTAATTTATTTAAGGTTCTTATTCAATAATTTATTTTACATAAGTCTAGAAGAAAATTATAAGATTTTTATCCATTATTAATCCTTGGATCAAGTTTACATAAAATATTACAAAATAATATCTATTGCAAAAAAAGAGGAAATTTCTAAATTCTTCGAAAACAAACCAAAATTTTCATAGATAATAAAATATGTTTCGAAAAATCCTTACATGACAGTTAACAGATTTAAACAGATTTTGGAAAATCTTATTTCACTATCTACAATTTCCAGTAATTTTTAAATTACCAAGAAATTTTTAAATTACCATAAAATTTTTTTAAAGAGTTTAATAGCCAATGAAATGCTGGATTTTTTATTAAATTAATTGCACCCAGAATTTTAGAAAATTTCGAAAAGTAGTTTAAAGACGCATTTGAAATTTTCCTGAAAACAGAATTGATATGGGTAGGAAACTATTTCAAAACTGATTATTTACAGTTTTGAAATTGTTGCAACTACCTAACCGAATTTGAAAAATTTGTAACTAAAAGCGTATTTTTTTGTCCTTTTAGTTTTATAAATATTTCCAAATTTTTTAGCATTAAAAATTAAATGTTATCTAAATATAATATGAAATGATATATGACCTATAATGTTTTTATATGTTGACCAAAACAAAGGGTTTGTTTCGAAATCTCGAAAATTAAAGTAAAAATTACCAAAATTTATATCATTTCACAACCTAAGGTCGGGTGGAGTCGTAAATAAATTATAAATTAACTCAGAAAAATAGCGTGAATTCGTAGTGGGGCAATAAAATCTAAAGTTGAAGCGTTATGGATTAAACATTCCTTCGCAGCAATTCAAATATAAACGAAAATCAAAACTTAAGCAATACATTTGTTTTTTTTTTTCTTTTTTTTTGGAAAAGTCTTTTATTTTTGACATTTTTATTGTTATTGCATTTGTATATAACTTCTTAGTGTTATTTTAAATAAATTAATGTAATAAATTAATGTATATATTAATGTTATATTACTATAAAAATTATTACCGAAAAAATTATAGAAAGTTCTATTATCAAGTGATTTAAATTCTCCCAAATATCGGTAATTTTTACTCTTCCATTTGCAAATCGACAATTTTTTTTTTTTGGAAAATTTCTTTTTTTTTTGGAAATTCGTGTTGCCGTATAATCGATCTGTGATACTTCTTTTAGAATTTTCTTTAAGTAAAATAAGTGTAAGTGTGATTTTTGACGGAAGATAAAGTTCATTTGCTAGTTTCGCTAATATGTCTAAAACAAAATCTTTAAACGTTTTAATGATGCTCTAAAATAAATGTACTAAAAAATCAAGTTTTTCAAGACTTCCATAAATTCCAATAATCGGGATACACACCGGGTTGCAGTTAGTTATACCCATTTTAAGCTATCGCTCAAATGGTAAAATTTTCAAGTTATTATTTTTATAATTTAAAAAATTATAAATTAAAAAATTTAAAACTTCTTTGGAAACTAACATATGTTAATATTTTCAATCTTTTTTTTTTCGTTATTTGAATAGTTATTATATTGAAATTAAATTAAAAAAAAAAAAAAAAAACAGATGTCAAAATATAGAATTACATTAAGTCACTTTACATTGGTTAAAAAGTTCTACTTGAAAAATTAACAGAAGTTATAAAAAATAGAATTCATAGCAGAGTTTCTTCGCAAAAACTACGGCTTTTCAAATCATTATCAGCTTCATCATTTTCCATTATCAAAAAACTGTATTTTCTATAATTTTGCTTGGTAAAAAAAACTGGAGATTAGTTGCAAATAAAAAAAAATAAAATTTTTTTTTACCAAAGGCTCCAATTTTCAGTGAGATAAAAAAATCCTATTACACAAAAAGTGTGTCATTACTGATCAACAATTTTATTTTCGACCATATTTAGGATAATTACATAAGTCTGGCACGAAGATATTCTATAAATTCTATTTAACATAGTTAGCATAATTAATTTTTAATTAATTTTTATTCATATATAAATAGCATTTCGTGGATAATTGAATTTAGTGTTTCTTCGGGAAATACCTTAATCTGAATCCACTAGTAAGACAATCCGATTGCATCACAAATTTTAAAGATTATTAAAAAAAGTTCAGCCGCAGTAAATTCAAGCACAAAAGTCCCGTTGTTACCAGAAAAATGTCTATACAATGAATGTTTCACTTCATAATAGCTCCGGTCGATACTGGATTAATTTCTTTATACATTAATTTCTATTTATTTATTGTTTATAAAAAATGTGTTTGTAGAGTTCTGTTTTTGATATTCCAGAATGACTAATTGAAATTTCAAGAAAATTGTTCTTTGAATTAATATAAAAAGAAGCAGAAAGAAGTTTGAAAAATAATTTCTAGAAATTGGACAATACCTTGGTTAAACCCTGAATTATTGTTGGCTTTATTTAACAAATAATAAAGACAATCAAATGTTCAAAAAACCCAAGGTTAATAATAGTAGAACAGTCTTGGCATATTTGTTGTGGATACCGTAGTATTTTGTTGTTGCAAAAGAGATAGGCTTAATCCCATTACTGTTTTTGTTTTTATAAAAACAACGCTTATTTATAAGTTGAGAAAGATGATAATGTTTACCAGGGAGTAAAGCATGGAATATATAGGTTTCGGAAAGCGCCATCAATCCTTATCAGTTTCCTTGCTTTTTGTCTGGGTTGCTCTCCTCAGGAGTTGTTTTAAAATAACTCCTATGAAAAAACTTAAGATTAAAAAATAATATTTTTAGAAAACTGAGCAAATGTTTTAGTTTCAATTAGAGTTAAAAATATAGAAATAAAACACCGTTTTAAGTCGCAATATTAGTATAAATATTTACCAGAAATTAAGAAATTAAGTTGATTTTTATTA